TGTGCTCTTCCGATCTCCCCAAAACCCCAAAACCCCGAGCTTCTATTATAAACATTAATATGATTGTTGAGAATTTGAAATTTAAATAAAAATGAGTGAAAATTAATATTAGAATGAGCATCAAGTTCTCTAAAATAAAACCTCCCAAGTCAACAATCAAATGAAAGAATCGTTGCTTTATGACATTCCAAGTGCAGTACTTAATAACTTAGTTGATGAAAATGGAAATATAAGAGAAGATGCAGAGATTCCCTAGGAAATTCTACAGATATATCAGAATAAATTTCCCAAAAATAACAGACATTCTAATAAGTTGAAATAAATGACAAGTACAATGACATCTTTTCAAACTCATCACACTTAATCCTAAAGAATATCAATTGCAAGCCAAAAAGAAAATCAAATATCTTTTAGATCCCCTAATGGTCAGTAACTCCCCTCAGCAAGCAATATTGGTTTGACTGAACAAATAATTAAGATTATTCTTAATACGCCTTCTCTTCATACAGTCAAAGAATTAGACATAGATGGTCCTAGATCTCCATACATATTTAACAAAATCTAATAGCCTCTTGTTAATCTTCCTAATCTAACACATCTCACACTTACCAATCATCAAATTGAGAGAATTGAGAACTTAAGTTTTTTGACACAGCTTAAGTATCTCAATATGAAGGGAAATAGAATATCAGTAATTGAAAGATTAGAGAGTCTAAAGCATCTTTAAACACTCAATTTATCTAGCAATCTCATTGAAAAATTGCCTTATTAGGTTTTCACAAGACTATAGATATTAGAGAACTTAGATTTAAGCAATAATAAAATCAAGACAACTTGTGAAATCAAAGCCCTAATCAATAATAAAATTATAAAGAGTATCAATTTTAGTGGCAATGAAATTATCCATCAAGGAGACTATCAAAAATCTATAAGAGAAACATTGCCAGAACTCACATAATTAGACAATGAAATTTTTAGAAGAGGAGATGATTTACAAAGTGCAAATAAAGGCTCAGCAAAACCAGGAAGAGCTAAGAGTGAATGCAAAATAGCTAAATAACAAAAGAAACTATTATCTTTGAATTTCAACTTAGAAAAGTAGATATTTGATTAGTCTAAGAAGATTAAAAAGCAAGATTAAGAACTGCATCATGCTCTTGAATATGCAACAGGATTAGAGGAGGAATTATTGAATATTAAAATTAACTCCCTTTACAATCAATCTGCAATGTGTTCACCAAGAATAACCTCAAACTAGAGTGACATGATTCAAGTAAGCAATGGTAAGAATCTATCTCCATCTATGAACCAAAGAATGTTCTTCCCAGGCTCAACTACTATAACAAATCTTCCAATTCTTTAAAAGATGTGCAAAAGCTAATAGTAATTGTCAAATACTCCAACTGTTTAAAGTTAATCAAAGCTAGATGGTCATACGATTGAATTAGTCACAACTTAAAATGACAGCTAATCACTTCAAAAAGTTAGCAAGAATTTAGCAAGAGCTTTTAATGACACTTTTAAGAAAAAGAATTCGATAGTATCAGTTCACAACTATGCTTCGCTCTAAGGCTTTTTACCTAATGATTTTAAACCAGAGCAGTACTAGACAGAGCTAAAAAATCAAATAGATTCAGAAAAGGAAACAATGATAACAAAAATTGAACTGTTAAAGACTAAACTAAGCAATAAGAATGATTTTATCAAGCAACTTGATTACTAAATCAAAGATATAATGGTTAAAATAATGGATTTAAACACAAAAATAAGTGTTCATTGTGATAGTATCATGGCTTTTGATTTTGATGTCACCATTTAGAAAGTACTAGATGAAAGAGTAAAGTACATAAAGAAGCATATAATGATGAGAATAGATGCTATCAAGAAAAAGAATAAAATCATGCTCATTAATGAGTAACTGTCTTTCTTAAATATGGAGCTGAGCTTTCATAAATAAAATGGACAATAAGAGCCTCTTAAATCAGGAGCACATATCATGGTTTAGTCATTAATATCGTCTCAAAGTATCCAGCAACTTGGGCAGATTATTCAATTCCTAAAATTGAAGCTGTCAAAAATTCAATCAGATCTCTAAGACTTAGAAAATAAGATTAAAATTTCATCATAAATGAGCAAGCAAGAGTTAATGGACTAAAGTATCTATGATTTTTATCAGCAATTAGATATTAATCCATCGAGCAAGTAACTTTTGAAGCAAAATGAATATGATCTTCAGAAATGGCTTAAGAAGTTCAATAAAAATGAGAAAATAATTGAACAAAAGTAAAAGAGTCTGGAAACAATATATAATCATGAGCAAATATAGCTCATTTAGGAGTTCAGTATTTGTATTAAGCAATTAAATGAGAAGAACTAGATATAATAGGAGCTCAATGAATAATTAAGAGTACAGCAAGAGGAATAAAGTTAGAAGAAGATTCAAGTAATGCTGAAGAGAATAAAAAGCATTGAGGCTGAGAAAAAGAAACTTACTTAAAGGTTAGTCATAAGGAGGAATGAAAATCTGATAAATAAGACTGAGAAGGAGGAAATTGATGCGCAAATTGTTCAAATTGATAAAATCATAACTGATCATAAGGAACTGTTTGAACAATCAAAGTAACAATAGGCTAAAGTAAATGCAAAGAGATCTTTGTCTCCAGCCCCATAGAATAATACTGACTCAATAATAAATCTAATTATTCAAAACACTGATAAACTACTTTCAGTAATTGAGCATCTCAAAAAAGATAAAACCAAATAGCTTATTATAAATACCTAGACCAATAATGATTTAGATGCTTATCTTTAAAACACTTCGATAATCTCTCCAAACAGACCTGAAATGTTTGGAGCTCAAAATCCAAATATGACAATGGTAAACAATAGTATGATGAGAACTTTTGATAATAACAATCCTCTTACTGTCACTTCCCTTAATAACAATGGGTAAAACTAAAATCATTAAGAGATCCAATTCTATAGAGATTAGATATTACTAATTAAGTAATAGTTGGCTGAAAGTGAAAATGAAAGAGATTAGTTATCAATTGATTTCATCAACAAAAAAGAGAATTATGAGCAGATATTAAGAAATATTAGAGAGTAGATTACAGAGAAGGAATCAAAGTATAATTAGCTTTTCAAGGATATGTAAGGTAGCATCTAGGAACTATAAAAAAAGAACAATGAGATGATAAAACTTAATTCTGATTTAATTAAGAGAGTATGTACTTCAGAAAAAGATGATATGTTGAAATAAAGTACAGATAAGGGTTCTTTATCATAAAGTACTTAAGCCATTAGAAGATTGGAATGGTATGTCTAGATGCAAAGTGGAATAGTAGAGGATTTGGTGAAATAGAAATAATAACTTGAATCAAAGTTCTAATAGCTAAATTTGAAAAACCAGCATGACATTGAGCGGATCTCAACATCTGGAGATCTTTAATCGTCTAGAATGACTTATACTATGGATAATAGAAGTTAGTAGGAAAGCTTCAATGACAAGTAATTTCAGTCTTATGATTGCAGGTTAATCTAAAACATCTTCTAAAATCCAATGTCTAATGTAAAACAGCCTTAGAGTAGAGATATGGCTAGTAACCTTAGACTTAATACAGAACTGACATCAAATACTGAGAATAATATTATTAAGCATCTATTTGAGGTATTTTCATAAAACTACTTGAATAATATGGAGGTAAATCTATTTCCTACCTAAACTTCATAGCTCTAGGATACAAATATAATGAATGCAAGTGCAATGACAGGTTTTAATTAGGCCTAAAGCAGCTAAAATATTTAGTTCAATAAGCATACATAATCAGCCAAGACTTTAGCCTCAAAGGAAATGCCCCCAATGAGACCGTTGAGTAAACAATAAAGCGTAAATACAACTAGAGACTCAGCTAGAATGCAAAATAAAAAGAAGTTCTCAAGTGGATTACAGAGTCGACAGAGTGAGGGGAATAACTTGAAAGTTGCTGATTACACTATAAACAATAACTTGTAGCACCATAATCAAATAAGCCAGAGTAATTATAACACAAATAATATGAATATCAAGTGTGATAATAGTGGTGTTAGCTTCTTTGAGGGTGCAGACAGTGATATCATGATGCCCTAGATAGAAACAGCACTTCAAAGTACATTCAATAAAGAATAATACTCATTTAATTAATCTAATTCTGGTGGAAGCAACAGTCATTGCGGGATTTTGAATAACAGTACTACTAGTAGGCTAAGTATGAAAAATGTATGGACAGTAGGATAAAACAATCAGAAGGAAAACATGGATACTTTTCAAAATTAGATTCAAATAAACTAGTAACACAATTTATAATAGATGCAGTAGCACCAATAAATCACCTAGCAGTAAACTTTTGGGAAGCAAAGTTCAGTAAAAAGTCTGGCTGGTCCTGGGAAAAGAGGCAGCTCAGGTATAAGTCTCTAAACTGAAAAAAGTCAGTAGTCATCATAATATAACCAGTAGCAAATCTAATAGGAACAAGCGAAAATAAGAAATATGTCTAATGTTATAAAAACTGGCTTAAAACGAAGTAAATGATATTAATCCTATAATGATGATGAGCATATTATCAATGTATGATGCAATGCTCATAGTACTTAATTAGAATTATAATTTTAATCATTAACGTTTAACTAGAAAATTTATGCAATATCATATTCATCTTCAAACTTATCAAAGGCGTTCTTCGTGTTCTCCTTGGTCGTTTTATGATACAGCTACAGCTCCTCCTCTTCTTTATCTCTTTGCTCTGATCAATGCAGCTTGCTCCTCAGTCTTTCCTCTATACAAAATTATCTCATCGTATTCATCATCTATTTCTTTTTGGTTCAAACCAAGTTCTCTAAATTTTTGGATAGCAGCTTAGGTCTTTTAATTTTAGTCCTTATGTTTCCACATCTCTTCCATTATGATTTTTACACAAGAGAAAATCATTAAAACTCCAAGGATTCCGAATCCAGTTCCGAGACCAGCTGCAGCCTCTCTATTTAGTGATGGAGTGCCATGTTATGTGTGATCTGCGAAATTTTTAGTATGAGTTTGTTTTTAGATTGCAGCAGATGCAAGTCCGAAAAGGGCCAGCACAGCAAATGAGATTATTGACTATAGACACTTCATTTTCAATGATTAACTATAAGAGAGATTTTATTTTATTATATTTAAAGAAATTGTTACTCATTATCTAGTATTTAAAATTTAATTCTATACGGGGTTTTGGGGTTTTGGGG